GAGTCAAGAAATCCGGCCGAAAGTTGCATCTAAATCCCAGCACTAACGTAATTCTATTATATCTCTTGATAATTCTTGCTGCACGTAACCGTGACATTTGATGTCCCTTGACCCATAAATTCAGCATCTTTTTCATTACTCCTAAGCAAATTAGATGCATATAATCTAACAGAAAATTATTTATCATATCCACAGCCAAGTTTTCAAAAGGCGAAATGCAAATGTGATGTTCTTCATTTTCTCGAGTGCGGAAATTGCTGTCCGTCCTCAACGAGGCATTTTCATCCAAGAAAACCATTTTGTGATTAATATAATCACCCTCGCAAAAACATTTGCCACAGCCAAAATATCTATTATGCCCTTTTGAGCCAGTTACAAAGGATTTGGCAGGAGTATCACAAATAATTGCTCTGATTGTTACACGGTAATTTTTATTTTCAAATAAAAATCCTTTCTCGTGATCTCGTGAATATTCATCACAAAATTCTTCTAACAAATCTTGTGCATGCGTAGGTTTTTTATAACCGTGAAAAGCAGCAATCAAAAAGGGTTCCGTGACATGAATATTATAAATTTGACCAAGTATAGGCCATAACTGGCTTTGGGAACTTTTAGTAAGAGGTAGGCCGTCGATATTAATATTAATTTCTATTATATTATTATTGATATTTTTATAAGATTTCAATTTTTCTCGTAATGCCTTTTCCAGACCATAATAAAAGTAATGGCCAGCTCCACACTCTCGAATAATTGTATTTTTGGGTGTTCCTAACAAGGTTCGAGCATCACTGGGCAAATCATTGTGACCTTCTTTCTGTAGAATACACAATAAAGCTGTCAGAGATTTTTGAGTAATATTATATTTAATAGCCCACACACACACACACAGGTATGTAACTGTTCATGTAAAATGCCTTTTCGTTCGTCTCTATTATTATATAATAAATTAGAATCTTCTATATTATTATCTGACTCCATATCATCTGATTGTATATTTTGTATTTCTACTTCAGGAAACAGTTGTATTGTACTGCAATTTTGATTTTCGAGAGAGCATTCTATGTAAGAAGAAGCTTGCTTGTTAGTAACAAGCCTTTCTGGAAGGCTAATGGAAATATTGTCATTTTGTGCAGCTAGTAATAAACGGCGATTTTGTTGTCTGCGTGACAACTCTTTAAATTTTTTAATTTTTGGCATTGTGCTATTTTATTCTGCGTACAAACCTGTTATCATTAAATTTATCAATTTAATTGAATATTTTAAAATATTGTAATAAAAAATATTGGAATTGATAAAAAATTTTTTTGAGAATTGTTTATATAATATTTATGTAAAATATTACTAGTA